CAAATTTGAATGAGTTGCTTTAAATTAATTTGAGGACTATGTGTGTGGGGGGATGGTGGGGCAAATAAGAAATGCATATGAAACAAATTGCTTATATGTTGATAATTTTGAAAATTGGTGAAAAGTTAATAGTTATATAGGAACTTATTATATTGTTTTCTTTTTGTATATGCTTGAGATTTTTTTCAATGTCAAAAAAGTAAGAAAAAAAAAAAACCAAGAAGAGATACATTATAAGGAAAAGGAGATGAGAAAGGAGGGCCTTTTTGAAGACTCGTCAGAGGGGCAAGTTGGAGCTTTATTGAAATTCAAGGAGAAATTTATATACTAGCCCAATGACAATAAAAAATAAATAAAAATTAGGATGCATTGAGTTGTTAAGATACTTTTACTATACAACTAAAAATAATGAGTTGAGATGTTTATGTCAAGCTAAAATCCAAATGACAAAACACTGTGCTTAAAATCAGATAATCCTACATATCTTTGTCCTTGTGTATGCTTTAAGCTGAGGCTCCCTGGTTTATTTGGAGATGTATGCAGAATGAGCATAATGTAATAGAGAAATGGAACTCATCAGAAACTTTTCTAAAAGCATAACTTATATTCAATAAAACTAACTTTTTTGGTGTATGAATTTTGAGTTTTGACAAACACATATAATCATGAAGTCACGGTCACAATCAAGGTAAAGATCCATAACCCACTCCCAATCCCCTCAGGCCCCTTTATAGACATTCTCCTCCTCTGCTCCAAGCCCTTGCCAACTGCTGGTCTGTTTTCTGTTTGCTTTTCCAGAATGTTACATAAATAGAATCCTGCAGTAGAGTCTGTAGTAATGCATTTGAGATTAATCCACACTATGGTACGGATGGATAGTTTGTCATCTACAAACAAATTTGGATTTAGAAAAGGAGGGACTTTATTCAAAAGGACCAATGATATAGGAATAATGCACTTATTTCAAAATATGCAGTGTCTCAAAAATCAAACAGGAAGAGGCCTTGGTTTTATAAAAGAGGTTAAAAATTGTTATCAAAAAATATGTGTGTGAGAGAGCCTGAGATGAAAGAGAGAAGCTTTGTGGTTAAGATCATTCAAGTGAGGTATAAAGGACTTTTGCACATTGCAGCCTTTTTAATCTTTTGAACAAGTCTGACTTTAGGAGGCCCTGGGACAGACACTTGAAACTTGGCATAGATTTGGTCAAGTCTGTATAAGGTTTTAATAAAGTGGGTTTTTTTTCTTTGCTTTGCTTTTTCTTACTGCCCCAGTTTAATTTTAACTTTTCCTCATCCTCCCACCCCATAAATCCTGGTGGTGTTTTTTTTATCTCTCCCCAGCTAAAGAATATTTGAATTGTTGCAAATTTTTCAGTTTTTCATAATTATCAATAAAACTTAAAAAAAAGTTTATGTATAGGTTTTTGTGTAAAGTCAAGTTTTTTCCCCAAGTGTAGAATACCTAGGGGCAAGCTCCACAGGGCATATGACAAATGTATGTTTTTTGGCCTTTCCAAACACAATAGAAGGACATTCCATTTGCATCTTTTCTTCACCAACACTTGCTGTTGTGACTTTGTTTAATTTTGTTTGCTACTCTGAGAATCATATGGTGACTACCCATTGTGTTTTAATTTGTATTTCTCAAAAGTCTGTTAACATCAAGCATATTTTATGTGTTTATTTACCACTATGGTATTGTCTTTATTCTTGTTACTTTGTAAGTCATGAAATCTAGAACTCTGATTTCTCCAAATTTGATCTTTTTTTCCAAAATCATTTGGCTATTGTGGTTCTTTTACCTTATCACATAATTAAAAAGTGACCTTCTTGATTTCTACAAAAAATAAAATAAAGTAAATCATGCTGAAGTGTTTACTGGAATTGCACTGGATTTATAAACCTGTTTGGAAATAGTGTGAATATTCCATCCATGAGTTGAACATTCCAATGTATGAACATCTTTTGTTTCTCTATTGTTTAGATCTTCTTTGAGCTGTTTATTGTTCTTGCATGTAGTTTTCATTATACTGATTATGAACATATTTTGATAGCTTTACAGTTAAGTATTTTATCCTGATATTACTACAAATGGTACTGAATTTGTATTTTAATTTGCATTTGATAATTGCTAGTATATGAAAATAGAAATGATTTTTAATGATTAGTATTGTATCTTACAGTTTTGCCAAAACTCATTTATTACATCTACTAGAATTTTGCTCGATTCCTTGACATCATCATCACAGATCAGGCTGAATGGGTACAGCTGGAGGGATTAAAATGCTGCTCTTGCAGAGGGCCATGCTGAGCACCATCAACCAGACACCAGTGATCCTGCAGGTGCAGGACCTGATGAGCTCCCAGGTGCAGATGGGCGGCCACCCTACTGAGGTCCTGTGCCTCATGAAGTGGTGCTGCCAGAGGTGCGCCTGGTGGATGAGGAGTACAGGAGATGGTGGGGGACCTGCGGGGTGAGTGCAGCAAGTACAGCTCCTCAAGTCCACCTGGATACAGATGGTATCCAGGTGCCTGACTGTAGCAAGATCCTTGTGGAGCTCACCTCTGTGTGACTACCAGAAATCCATGCAGGACCTTTGCAAATTCGCCAACAACCAGGTTGTCACAAAATATTGTGATCTTGACTCTTAACCATGGGCGAGACTTATGGTAGGGTAGGGGCAGAGCTGGCTAGAGGTTTCTCTCTCCACCTGTCCCCCTCTCCCTCCCCCTCTGAAGATGATGGGCAGAGGAGTGAGAACAAAATGACAGGGGGGTGGAGGGGTGGGAGGTTAGGGAAGGGAAGGGACTGCAGAAGTGCACACAGGCCCACACAGACAAGCACCCACACAGACACAGAGGGAGGGGGTTGGGATGGAGAGGGGCACACAGCAGGGCAAGTAGGACCCCCAGGACCTCTCCCAAAATAGCCTCCCCACCTTAGACCCCTTTCTCCTCCCCATGGTAGGAACACACTGTGTTTATATTTCATGGCCAAATTATTTTGGATTTTGTTGACTGGCCCTTAGTGCCCTGCCCTCTCCCCTTTGCAGGACCACAGCCCCCTCCCTCTGTTCCTCCCTGGTCCCAGCTCTGGTTTTCCTTGTTTCTTAGTTGGTTCTCTTTTGCCTTCCCCAACAGGCTCCCACCCCCACAATCCTGAGGCCCCTGTCCCTCTCTTCCTCTCAGGGCAGTTTCATATTTCCTATGACAAAATTGCTCTTTAAACATTTTGTTGTATTAAAAATAAATAAATAAAAATTTTCACATGCTTTTGCTGCATTTTTGAGATGCTCCTATGTCCTTTCTTTTCTTATTCTGTTAAAATGGTGCATTATATCCCCTCAGAACGGCAATTATCAAGAATACAAGTAACAATAAACATTGGCAAGGATGTGGGGAAAAGAGAAATTCCTGGTAGAACTGCAAACTGGTGCATCCACTCTGGAAAGGAATATGGAGATTCCTCAGAAAACTTGGAATGGAACCACTATTTGACCCACTCCTTGGCATATATCCAAAGGACTTAAAATTACCATACTGTAGTGATGAGCCACATCAGTGTTTTGAGCAGCTCAATTCACACTAGCTAAGCTATGGAACTGACCTAGATGCCTTTCAACAGATGGATGGATAAAGGAAATATGGGACATCTAACACAATGGAATATTAGCCATAAAGAAGAAGGAAAATATGGCATTTTCTGGAAAATGGATGGAACTGAGGACTCTCATGTTAATCTCCAAAAACCAAAGACCAAATGTTATCTCTGATATACAGATGACTCACAATAGGTGGTGGTGGGGAGTGGAAGTTCACCAAATTGGACAGAGAAGAATGGTGGGAAGGAAGGGGAGATGGGAATGGGAAAGACACTAGAATAAATTTGATATAACTTTCCTATGTTCATGATCACTGTAACTCCACATCATGTACAACCACAAGAATGGGAAGTTCTACTCCATATATATATATATATGATATGTCAAAATACATTCTACTATCATGTATAACTAAAAAGAACAGATAAAAAATTAAAAATAAAAAAAGAAATAAGGCCATAAGTTGTTTTACTTGAAGTTAAAGGCATGTGAAAAAAATTCTTTTTTAAAAACAAATCTAGCTTTTTAAATAGAAAACAAAAAGGTGAATTACTATTGTTTATCTTCTAATGTATCCCTCAGTACTTCTAACCAGGTCGTTTATTATGGTGGCAAATCTGGATTGTTTATATGTCCCTTTTTCATCCTGATTTGTCCTCTTTTTTATCTTATACTTTCATTGCCCCTTTTTCCAATAACTAGAAAATCCTGGAGAGGAAATGTTCCATTTCCCTTGTTTGTAGCCCTCTTTCATGGATATTATTGATTGACAGGAACTTTTGTAGAAGAGACTTGCACTAGGAGAGTACAAACTAAACTTGGAGTTGATTCTGTGGCTAATTAACTTTTTTCCTCCCTAAGAGAAAGTATTTTGGTATTTATGTTTTGCAGAAAAATATTTTTTGCAAAAAAAATTTTGCAAGAAAAATTTCTAGCAGTTATATACCCTGTAACTCCTATCAAAATTTATTTGTGCTTTTTTATTACCTTAGTCCTAATTGCAAGTGTCATTGCACTTTCCATTATTTTGTCAGGTAAGTTTTTCTCCAAACTATGCAGTATTTTGTACACATTTATAGTGTCAGTAAAATTTATTTAATTTTGAGCTCTGTTTTGTGTATCAGTATCAATCGGAACATAAAACTAACTTAAAGTAATAAGATGCAGGTTCTAATACAAATTTTCTAGTTAGTCATTTATCAGTTTAACTTATTTTGTTTATGCTTTCCTTAATGTGGTTCTGTGTTTTGAAACGTTTCTTCTTTCAGGGCTGGAAATTTGTAGATCAGTAAATTGTTCTGAAAATTTGCTTAAATATGTGGTTTCAAAGTTTCTCCCATGGCGGGCTTTAGTCTCACAGTGCTTTTCAGCTTCCTGCTCAGTCAGGAGGTGAGCATCTGTGGTTCACCCACAATCCAGCATCACCAAGAGATCACTAGTGAACTCTTCTCGGGTCTGAGCACCAAGATGACAGCTACAGAGGCTTCAGTGGAAATGTTAAAAACAGACCTTAGATTCACAGATGGACTGGAAAAAGCTGAACCTGGTAAAGTAATTGATGAAATTAGAAAAATTATAAGAGGGGCATTTTTACTCCCCAGCCCCTGAATTGCAAAGGGAGCTGAATTTAGACATGTTAGTATTTTACAATCTCCGAAGAAGTTCCGGAGAGAGGGGAATAGACTAGGTGTGAGGATAGATATAGAATTGCTACATTAGTTATTGTATTATGATATATGTTTCTTAAATATTCATGAAGCAAGACTAATGAATAGTGAATTTGGTTGCAAGAGGAGGAGGAAACTGTTCCTTGTGTTCAGAGCACTAGTACTCTCTCTTGCCTATGTCTCTGGCAATTTGCACACTTGTAGGTCACACCATGACTTTCAGTAATATGCTCTTTATATTCCGGGTTAATGGCAGACTTCAATGCCAATGACTCTGTAATACACCTACTAAGATAATTTACCCTGAAAAAGCTGGAACTTCAAGTTTGCAGATTCTTTGTGGGCAAGATGATTAAAATGAGCTATAGAGGAAGCTTTTTCGAGTTGGGACTCCTGCAATTATTTATTCTTTTGAGCAAGTCTCCATTTAGGCGATCCTGGGAGAGAAACTTGAAATTAGACACAGATGTGGTCAAATCTGTACAAACTTGTAAGAAAGTATTTTTTTTTTTCCAATTTCATTGCTCTTTCTTACCTCCTCCATTTTTTTTTTATCTTTTCCTCTTATTATTTTTTGTTTCTTTATAAGTCCTGAGTAGTGTTTTTTTTACCAATTCTTCAACTGAAGAATATTTGAATTGTTGAAAATTTTTTATTTTTAATAATCAATAAAAAATAAAACTGCTATAAATGTTCATGTACAGGTTTGAATATAAACTTGAGTTTTTATTCCCCTTGTTTAGAACATCTAGGGGCACCTGAACAGGGCATGTGGCATACGTATGTTTACCATTTTTCCTTGCTAAACACAATACAAGGACCTTCCATTTGTGTCTGTTCTTCAGCAACACTTGCTGGTGTGACTTTGTTTAGTTTTGTTTACTACTCTAATAATCATATGGAAATTACCAATTATGGTTCTAATTTGAATTTCTCAAAAATCTATCAACATCAAGCATACTTTATGTGTTTATTTACCATTCTGGCATTGTCTTTATTGTTGTTACTTTGTAAGTCATGAAATCTAAAACTCTGATTTCTCCAAATCTGATCTTTTTTTTTTTTTCCTAAAATCATTTAGGCAATTTTGGTTCTTTTACCTTTTCACATAATTAAAAAGTGACCTTCTTAATTTCTACCAAAAAATAAAATAAAATAAATCATAGTGCAATGTTTACTGGAATAGCACTGTATTTATAAACCTGTTTGGAAATAGTTTGAATATTTAATCCATGAGTTGAATATTCCAATCCATTAATATTTTTTATTTCTCTATTGATTTATGTCTTCTTAGAGCTGTTTGTTGTTTTTGCATATAGTTTTCATTATACTGATTATGAATATATTTTGATAGCTTTACAAGTTAAATATTTTATCTTAATTGGTGTTGCTATAAATGGTCCTGATCTTGTATTTTAATTTGCATTTAGTAATTCTAGCATATGAAAATAGAAGTTATTTTTAAAGATCAGGATTGTACCATAGCTTTGTAAAAATTAATTTATTACATCTAATATCCTTTTGGTAGATTCTTTGATATCATCATCATGGATCAGGTCATTGCTGGGTTGAATGGGATACAGCTGTGGGGATAAAAAGCTGCTCATACAGAGGACCAGCATGGGATCCAAGAACACCAAGCTGAGCACCAGCAATCAGACACCAGTGATGCTGTAGGTGCCTGGCCTGATGAGCTCACAGGTACAGATAGGGGCCCATCCTACTGAGGTCCTGTGCCTCATGAAGTGGTGCTGCCAGAGGCACTCCTGGCTAATGAGGAGTACAGGAGGTCATGTAGGAGCTGTGGGATAAGTGCAGCAAGTACAGATCCTCACGTCTGTTGAGATCCCAGGCCTGTGGATGGTGTCCAGGTGCCTGACTGTGGCAAGATCCTTGTGGAGTTCTCCTCTGTGTCTGACTGTCAGAAATCCATGCAGGACCTTCACAAATTCACCAACAGAGTGGTTGTCAAAAAATATTGTGACCCCTGACTCTTAACCACTGCGGAGACATCTGGTAGAAGTGGCCTGGGGAGGGTGGGGGCATGGCTGCCTGGAGGCTTCTCTCCCCATTTGTCTCCCCTTTTCCCCCTCTGAAGATGAGTGACAGCCAAATGACCACCTGATAGCCAGCAGAAAATGGAATGGCAGCAATTAAGTGTGGGGGGTGGGGAGTAGGGAGGTTATGACAGGGAAGGGACTGGGGAAGTTCACACAGGCCCACACAGACACAGAGGGAATGGGTTGGGATGAGGAGGGGTGCACAGTAGGGAGATAAGACCCCCACAGCCCTTCTTAAAACAGCCTTTTCTCTCTTAGACCCCTTTTCTTCTCCCCTTCCCATGGTAGGTAGGAACATGCTGTGTTTATATTTTATGGCCAAACTATTTTGAATTTTGTTGACTGGCCCTTGGTGCCCTGCCCTCACCCCTTTGCAGGACCACAGCACTGGTCCTTCAGTCCTCCATGGTACCCCACCTGTTTCCCCTTATTTCTTAAATAGTTGGTTCTCTTTGGCCTTCCTGACTCTCTCTAACACCCTAGTCCCATGGCCCCTTTCCCTCTCTTTCTCTCTGTGGCAATTCCATATTTGCTAAAACAAATTGACTCATTAAACATTTTGTTGTATTTTTTTTTAAAATTCACATGCTTTTACTATATTTCTTGGGATGCCCCTATGTCCTCTCATTTCTTATTCTGTTAAAATGGTGCATTACATACAGTCAGAATTGCAATTATCAAAAATACTAGTAACAATAAGAGTTGGCAAAGATGTGGGGAAAAGGGTACAGTCATACATTGCTGGTGGAACTGATGGTGGAACTGCAACCTGGTACAACCACTCTGGAAAGGAATATGGAGATTCCTCAGAAAACTTGGAATGGAACTACCATTTGACCCAGTTATCCTACTCCTTGGCATATACTCAAAGGACTTAAAATCAGCATACTATAGTATCACTGTTACATCAATGTTTAGACCACCTTCACAATAGCTAAACTGTGGAACCATCCTAGATGCCAATAGATGAATGGATAAAGAAACTGTGGTATGTATACAAAATGGAATATTACTCAGCATTAAAAGAGAATAAAATTATGGTATTTGCATGTAAATGGGTGGAGCTGGAGAATATCATGCTAAGTGATGTAAGCCAATCCCCCCCAAAACAAAGGCCAAATGTTCTCTCTAATATGCAGATGACCCAAAATAGGTGGTGGAATTTCACCAAATTGGACAGAGAGGAATGGCAGGAAGGGAGAGGAGATGAGAATGGAAAGATAGTAGAATGAATTGGACATAAATTTCCTATGTTAATGATCACTTTAATTCCACATCATAAACAGCCACAAAAATGGGAAGTTCGGCTCCATGTATGTATGATATGTCAAAATGCATTCTACTGTCATGTGTAACTAAAAAGAACAAGTAGAGTGATTAAAAAAAGAAGAAGAAGAAATTAGACCATAAGTTATTTTACTTAGAGGCATGTGGAAAGAAAATTTTTTATCTTTTTTAAAAATTAAATCTAACTTTTTAAATGGAAAAAAAGTAAATTATGTTGGTTTATCTTCTAATGTATCCCTTAGTACTTCTAACTGGGTCATTTATTATGGAGGCAAATCTGGATTGTTTATATGTCTCTTTTTCATCCTGATTTGTCCTCTTTTTTGTCTTATACTTTCATTGCCCCTTTTTCCAATAACTAGAAAATCCTGGAGAGGAAATGTTCCATTTCCCTTGTTTGTAGCCCTCTTTCATGGATATTATTGATGGACGGGACCTTTTGTAGAAGAGACTTGCACTAGGAGAGTACAAACTAAACTTGGAGTTGATTCTGTGGCTAATTAAAATTTTTCTTCCCTAAGAGATTCCTCCCTAAGAGAAAGTATTTTGGTATTTATGTTTTGCAGGTAAAAGTCTTCAAGAAAAGTTTCTAGCAGTTATATATCCTGTAACTCCTATCAAAATTTATTCGTGCTTTTCTATTATCTCAGTCCTAATTTCAAATGTCATTGCACTTGCTGTAATTTTGTCACGTAAGTTACTTTTCCTCCAAACTATGCAATATTTTGTACACATTTATATTGTCAATAAGTATTTATTTAATTTTGAGCTCTGTTATGTGTCAGGCACTGTGTAAAGTGCTTGAGATATATTAGTATATAAAACACACACACACCCCAAAATAAACAATTTCTGCTGTCTTCAAAGTTAATTTCTTAATACAGGTAAAACCAAATAAAGGTAAGAGTGGAACAGGTTGTAATATACGTAGGGTTGCAATATGATCTTCTTTGGGAAGGTATTTAGCAGCATTTTGAAGGGAATGGAAAAGTCATGGTTTACTGGGGAACTGTTCCAGAAAGAAAAAGTAAAGTAAAGCCCTAAGACTTTGGGAGTGTGCTGTAGATAAAGTAGAGTAAGAATGGAGAACAGGAATATAATAGGGGAAGGTACAGCATCCCCTCATTACCTGTGGTTTCAGTTACACATGGTCAACTGTTTTCCAAAAATATTAAGTGGAAAATTTTAGAAATTAAACAATTTATAAGTTTTAAATTACACACTTCTCTGAATAATGTAACAAAATCTTGTCCCATTTTTTGTTATCCTGCCCCAAATTTGAATCATCCCTCTGTCTAATGCATCCACAACCTGCCTATGCATCTGATAATGGAGCTGCCTCTATTATCAGATTCATGGTCATGGTATCTGTGTTCTAATAATTTTTATTATTAACAGTACCCCAAAGCACAAAAGTAGTATGTTGGCAATTTGGATATACCAAAGAGAAGTCATAACGACCGCCTTTTAAATAAAAAGGTTAAACTTTATCAATGGGCTGCTTGTATGTATAGGAATAAAAAGAAAACATAGTATATATAAGGTTTGGTATTATCCACAGTTTCAGGCATCCACTGGGGATATTTTCCATGGATAGCAGGAGTCTTGTAAGCTATTTAAAAACTGCCTTTCACTCTGAATGCAATAGAAAGAGAGAGGTGGCAGCATTGAACTTTAATGGCTGAATTACTGATTTCCATACTGAGAATAAACTTTTAGGAGACCAGGATAAAAGCAGGAAGACTTTTCAGAAAAATCTTGTAGAAATCAACTTGAGATGATGATGGCTTACGCCTGATGAAAAAAAGTGTGGAGTTGTGGGCAAGGTGGATATTTTGGAAGTTAAGCCAACAGTATTTCATATTAGATGGAATATTGAGTATTAGGAAGACAAAAGTCAATCATAATTTTAAGAATTTTCTTTTGAGCTTGAAAGAATACAAGTGCAATTCACTGATATGAGCAAAGCTGTGGGTATAGAAATTCCATTTAGGTAAGTATTTCCTGACATGTCCCAATCAGAATTGTCATTCCATTAAAGAATAAAGTAGAGTATGTACTTGAAATATTCTCAGGCAGAGGCTTATCCTTTGACCTGAAGTATTTCATCTTACACTTAAGAAGACTGAGAATGCAGGACAGTATAGAAGAACTATAAATCTCTTTTAAAAATATTCATCCTTTATATATAGGAGCAATATATCACCAGCTTTGCTTGGGGTCTATTAAAGAACTGCTCAGGTAGAGATGACTTTACATGAGAAAATATGTGTATTTTGATTTACAAAAGTGGTATTCAAATTTTTGTTGTTTCTACAACTTCTACTATCCACATTTTTTGGAAGGGGGATTGAACTCAGGGATGCTTAATCCCTGAGCCACATCCCCAGACCTTTTTATGTTTTAATTTAGACACAGAGTCTCACTAAGTTTCTTAGAGCCTTGCTAAGTTACTGAGGCTGACTTTGAACTTACTGGCCTCCTGCCTCAGCCTCCCAAGCCATCTTACAATTTCTAAAACATGACCTAAAATAATTTTAAAAACTATATATTACCTGGAATTTTTCATCAGATATTTAAATAGTTGTAAATGATGTAATTTCTAGCACATCAAATATGTTGGCATATTAAAACTTATCTTTATATTGTCATTTTAAATATATCTATTGGAATATAAATTTTGTCATGATTTGAAACCCAATCACCCCCCAAAAAAAAAATTAACTTTTTTTTTTTTTTTTTAAATAAGCAGGAACAATGTGTCTCGGAGTGTAACTCAGTGGTAGAGTGCTTGCCTAGCCTGCATAAGGACCTGGGATTGATTCCCCCACCACAAAATGAATGAATGAATGAATGAGTAAATGAATGAATTAAAATTAATAATAAAAAAAACACATGAAGCAAAACCTTTCTAATGTTTGAAAATTCTGGTCGATTTGTTTTCTTCAAATGTATTTATATCCTAGAATTTTATCATAGTGTAATATGAGATGCCTATTTAAAGTTGTTTATTTCTTCATGCTTAATATGTTGAATATGTAGAAGTTTCATTTAAAAAATCATATAAGACTCTCTTAAAATATTTTTTCAGATTATTTAGAATTATAATTTTAGTAATATTTTATATTTTAAAACAATTTGAGGTGGCTGGGGTGTGACTCAACAGTGGAGTCCTTGCCTCCCATGTGTGAGGCACTGGGTGTGATCCTCAGCACCACAATAAAGATACTGCATGTATGTAAAATTAAAAAATAGTAAAAAGACTATTTGATATAAATTTTGAAAATTATCAAAAGAAAATGCAATTTAATTTTTATCAAAATTTAAATTGTGATTTAGCACCTATCCTGCTCTCAACAATTTGCCATAATGTAATATTATGTGTAGCTCAAATTATGAGTATGTATTAGTTGGAGAGTATGACAGAAAGAATACTACTTCTTCAGTAAATACCTGCACATAGTGTATTTGATTCTGGTATGATCCTGCTACAGTAATTAAAATAAATGATTGATAAAACTCAGAGACTTTCTCATTAAGAAACTCATCCTCTGATGATTTTTTTCTGTGAATATGAGAATTGTATAATTTGCTAATTCTCTCCCACAACATTTAATTCATCCAGCATTTATCATCTACTTTTATGTTTTGTTAATAACAAAAGAATATACTAAGCATTTTACATGAGGAAATAAGATGAGAATTGACTACAGTTGGAGTAACTGTTTCATAAAACTACATAATATGAAAAACATTATTTTCTCAAATTAGCTTTAACTAGCTCAATTAATAATACACAAGTCTAAAAGTCAGATAAATATTTTACCAAAGGGTTTTATTCAATGTCGCCTAAAATATTTAGCAGTCTCTGAAAATAATTCTGTTAATTTAAAAGGAATCAGTGAGAATAATCTTTACAGCTCTTTGTTTTTATCTTCTTACCTAATGACTTATTCTAGTGATCAGAGTTAGGAAGAGCTGTAAAGAATTTCCTACTATTAAATCTAAAGGAAAATAAGTCATTGTTGTTATTTGATAATTTTGCCTGATCTCTTTTCATTTTGCTTTCACTAAACATTCTAAAAAGCAATTTAAAATTTTTAGATGTTAAGGGAGAGAAATTATAGAGCTATGGAATTAAAATATGTGTTCTTCTAGAAAGCTATACTCTGAAATCCTGTTGGTTTCAGGATATCTAACAGTGGCCTTGGTCAAAATATTTTTGCACATATTTAATAGCGCGCTCGCGCGCACACACACACACACACACACACACACCAGAAAATTTAGGAAGTCCTTGATCGTACTTTTGGTATCAAAACCAGTATTTTGAATGGTGTCATACACTGTATACTAGAAGCTTCTTCATCCCTCAATAAATGCATGATAGTAAAATCGAGGACAGGTAAGGAGTTTTCCTTTCTGTTGTTAAGAACATGGAGGTTGTCCACAGAAAGGGGAGCAGATACCTAAATTGAAGGTCACTGGGCACATGATGATTACACTTGGGATAAGACTTGGTGATGAATCGGGAAAGCAATAATCAATAGCATACTTCAAAATGGAACTCAGAATTAGAATAGAAAAAAACTAAATAAAAGAGATAAAAAAGTTTGCTAATTATCATTCCTTCTGGTTGTCTCAATTTTAGAAAAAAATAAGGAGCAGACCTTAGAGAACTCTGTGTTGTCTTCCTGCCCAAAAGATTGGATAGCATTTGGAAGCCAGTGTTTATATTTTGCTGAAGATATGGGGAATTGGACATTCAGCCAGACCTTTTGCGCTAACTTTGAAGCCGGTATTGGTCAGTTTGAAAGCCAGGAGGAACTGGTAAGAAAAGGTTTGGGATCACTTTTCTTTTTAGAATTCTTTGCCCCCTGAGTGGTTTGGGCTGCATAAAGCTAAAGCTGAAATATGAGAAAGGACCCCATCTCAAACAGAATTTGGGGCATGAGAAACATTTTAGTGTGTGCCATTTGTTGAGGTATATACTTGGCCTGGAATTCTGTGAGTCCTTTCAGATATGTTGACATATTAACCTGCAAATTTAGATATACTGTTCTCCTTCTACTCAGAAATATGCTAATCAGATAATTTGTCATCTGCATTGATACATGTTGGATATTGAAGGTGGGCACTAAAAACATTTTGCTGGAATGATAGAAATGAATATATGGTCCCTTATGAAGAAATTTAGGATCACGGATATTAAATGACTTAACTGAGAATTGAGGACTGGTCTTACTTCAAAATCTGTGCTTCTCAATTATACCATGATATCACCTCCAAAAGAGAAGGCTGTAGGGAAATAAACTCAAGATCTTTTTAAAAACATGAACACAGGGCTGGGGTTGTGGCTCAGAGGTACAGAACTAGCCTAGCATGCATGAGGCACTGGGTTCGATCCCCAGCACCACATAAATATAAAATATTGTGTCCATGTATAACTAAAAAAATGTTAAAAAATATGAACACATGTTTTCACTTTCTGTGTTGTATAGCAGAATTTCCTGAAAAGATATAAAGGTCTTTCTGATTATTGGACTGGCCTTAACAGAAAAGCATCATATCACATATGGAAGTGGACAAACAACACTAAATGTAAAACCTGGTAAGTTTTCAGAGTTTTTTTTTTACTTCCATTGTGTTCATGTGTGTGATTTGTGTGTTTGAGATGAGAAAATTATCCACATGTAAAGTGCATTGCACTAGCAGATAAAAAAATATGAATCCTGGACTCAGTAGTAGACAGTGTGCTTAGTATGCTCAAGGCCCAAAATTCCATCCCCATTAAACTCCACACACACCCAAAATATAAATATTTTTATGCTCTTCCATTTACTACCTGTGTCTTTAGAAAGAACTTATATTATTGTGATTTTGCTTGACATCTTTAGCAGGATGATGGCATCTAGCATAGTTCTTGTAGTCTCATGCATACACTAATTTAGAACTTTGCTGATAAACAGAGAGGACTGTGATATCTAGCCATTGAAGGACTGACATTTGTAAGACTCATATATGTCCACTATTTACACTGCTGCATCCATTCATAAAAGCAAAGTTTCCAGAGAAACATTGTGAATCTCTTCTAATGTTTCATTATCAGAAGGAAATCAGTGGATAAATCCATTTGATGGGTAATAATTTTAATGGATTCTTGGTAACTGGGGCATGGCTCAGGGAAGTAGGTACATTGACAGAATAATCTGAAACATCAAATACACTATTCTCCTTCTATTTTGAAATATAGTAATTAGATAATTTGTCATCCCCAATGGCATATGTTGGATATTGAAAGGGGAATTAAAAATGTTGTGCTGGAATGACAAACATAGGCTGATAATTTCCCAAATTTTTAAATATAGATATGTAAGAAAAAAAAAAAAGGAGACAGAAGCATAGTTATTAGGCAAAAGCAAAAGCTGCTCGCCCAAGCTGCTAGCTTTATTTACATCCTTAGATTACTTTAGATCATTGACATCATTGGTACATATTGTTCATTGTATTACTAGGCAGGTAACAGACTCAGCAATATTATGAAGCTTATTCCTCAGTTACATACTAAGTTGCAATGGGCAATGTTAGGAGCTTTGTGTAGTTCTCAAGAAAGTCCATTGTATAAAGTTACTGTCATGTGGACAGATTTAGGCACAGTGAAACACTGTAGTTGTCTAATAAGAGTTCCATTATTCCCAGGAGCTGTGTGTGTGAGATCAAGGTCAAGGCTGATAAGACACTAACTCAGAGCCTCCTCCTGAAGGACATTGCTCCAGTAGCTGGACATTCTGGGTCTTTGTACAGAAGTTTTCCCAGCAGCCAGGTATTCTGTGTCTTTGCACAGAAACTTCCTAGTCAACCACCATGCCACAGTCATGAAGCTATTAGAGACCTCAATCCCAGACACAGAATCCTTCCATAGATAAATGGCATACACTAGGGGTATGTACTTGGGGAAATCTTAGCTCCTGGTCCCTTCTGCTGTGCCTATCCCTGCTTCCTGAGTGCCATGAGCTGAGAAGGTTACCTCTGCCATGCTCTTCTACCATGATGCTCATCCTCACATCTCTTGGGGTGGCCAGGACCTTGCCAATGAATTCTTACTGGTTTGGAGGGATAAGCCTCCTAAGAAATGAAAGTCTATAAGAATTAATGAAGAACAAAAGACAAAGTCAGAAAGCTATCTTCAAAAAGTTGGAGCCCCTGATAGGTCCAGTCCACACAGGAGCTGGAGCTAGACAATTAGAAAATGACTCCTGAGGTTTATATAAAGGGACACCAAAGGCAGGGACAAGTTTTCAGGAGTAGAGCCATACTTCATGATGTCTTGTAGTCAGCATGTTGATTGGCATCTTGGAAGGTCACACCCATCTCAGAAGGGCTGTGTGGCTACAGCAGGTTACCCCATATACAGTGCTCTGTGGGATCATTGACAGAGCTTCAATGGAGCTCAAAATATGTCTCAGAAGAGGAAATGTTCACTGGAAGTTCCTAGACACCATCTTATCCTTTTCACTAGTCTGTGGAATACAATTGAGTCCACAGAGCCCATGGATAGCTCTCAACACACATAAGGCTGAAAGCACTGGACCTAGCTGACCATGGACTGAAACAATGAGCCAAAAGAAATCTTAGCACCTTTAAATTGTTATAAACATTTCAATGATGGTAAAGTAATCATCTATCAGAACAGATAAAATATAGGGGCACAATCACTTTCATCATAAATGTTAAACTCTTAGGAATTTAGTAGTAAGTGATTTTTAAATATCTTCAGACATTTATGAAACAAGTGGAGATCAAACTAAAAATAATCTTCAGAAAAAGCCACCAATGACAACAGTTTGGAGACAACAGCAAGCACCAGTTAAATACCTAATCAATAACACATAAGTGGGCTTGGGATAGATGAATGATAAACTTGTGTTATTCAAGCAAAGACCTTGAGAATGTAAAGGAAACTAAATGCAGAAATAGTATATATTACCACTGGCACATTTCTCTTGTTCACATTAAAAAACATGGAGGGTTGATGCTGGACAGTGTAGTGGAGAAGGAAATGTGGATGTCCAGCCTATGAATATTTAATATTTTTGTGTCAGATTTTAGGTTTTCCATCAAAGGATTTGGAGGATGTACCTACCTGAATGGTAATGGGATCAGCAGTGCCAGGAACTACACAGAGAGTGTCGTTACACCCTCTCTTCCACAAAAAAATCTTAATTAAGCTTCTCCAGAAACCCTTACCATAATTATTCTTAGACTTTTGGCAAAAATTCCTGCAAAAGAATTCTCAGGTGAAGGTATGTTTGCAGAAGCATTGTGAGATAAGACTTATCCAAGGCCTTCACAGAAACATTCGCATTTTAAAAAAAGTCTGGCCAAGACTGTCCATGGGCAGGGAGAACCTAGGCTACAACAAACCCCACCACTACAGCCCACCACTGGTGCTGAAAGTTGGAGCAAGTGAAGCCAGAATTAGACAGGCAGTCATTGTAGATAGGTAGATCGAGTCAGTTGGGTCTTGGAGGCTAATTTTGAGTGAGTCTGGGAAGTTGAAGACTGTGTTACCCCTTCCTCACCCCCAGAGATCTTATCAAGAACCTGCCCCTGCTCCAACATCATGTCAAGGTAACCTGTCCCAGGAATTTCCCCTCCCTACATGGAGCTATAAGGTTGTTAATGTGTCCTTGGCTACTACACCCCACCCTTCCCCCTTCAGCCCACATATTTCACACCTTTTGGCCATCACACTCAGCATTTCTGGGCCTAGTCAAGTACTCAGGAAGGAGAAAGATAAGGGTGGGAAGGCAGGAGAACATAGGAATCCTAGGACATATAAAAAGAGGAGAACACCTCTTCGCTTCTTGGAATGCCAGGATACCAGCTATGACCCCCTTCTCCTTTGTGGGAGAAGTCTATGTTACCCCTTTTCAAATAAACCTTGCTTCATATGCTTGCCTTGGCGTGCTTCTCTGATGTTCAAAATTCAACATGTGGGGAAACAGGACTCATCACCAATAACCACAGTATCACAAGGAGCCAGCAAGGGGCAAAGAGAAGTGGCCTATGGGGCCACACAGCGCTGCCACAGGGGGATACAATCTGAGAAGGCAAGGCAAAACCATCACTGGGTAGTTGGAGCCAACTTGCTTGTGGTGCACAGAACAAACATGGCGGCTCCCAGCCCAACAGAGTTCCACCAAAAAAGGATATTGTAACTTCAGATGGGCAAATTTGGGAAATGCTCTGGGCAAGATGGCAGAGAGGGTGGGAAGCCCAGTGCTGTGGTCATATTTTCAGATCACATAGAAAAGCAACTCTGGCCACACAGCAGCAGCAGAAGGGTGTTTCCACACAAATGAGTTTTCTTTTGTGCAGGCTTCTTCCAAACCCTGCCTTCCATGGTCACAGCATGGCATGCCCACACAAAGTGTGCTTTAGCTGGCTTCCTCTCAGTCCCTCCCACCATCGCTCAGAGGGGCCTTCCAGCTCTGCTTCACAGAGCCTGCATCTTACAACCTCTGTTTCTTAAAAGCAAGCACTCAGGTGCAAATTTTCTTTTTCTGTTCCAAATAAATATTAACAACAAATATATATATGATTTACTCATCCTGAATCCATCTTAAGATTGGAAGATTGGGAGCCATCTCTATCACAAAGTCATGAAAACTTTATTTCTGTTTTACTGTAAAATACTAAGATTTCTATTTGGCCTGACCATACTTTGATGTTTAATATTGCTGGAAATTCCTGCCCATGCCTTGAACTTACCCCTGCCTGGCTCTCCTTTATTCTCAATGCTTCATTAATAAAATGTAATTCACAGTTCCATCAACAGGTTTCTTCATGAAATTGTCTTTAAAGCTACAATGCTAGAGTTCCAAAAATGTTGTAGCTTTAACAAGAGCTGTTCTACTTATGTTTTCTAAGACTTTTTGTTTGTTTGTTTGTTTTGGTTTTTAGAAATGTTATTAAAAGTTAATCTGACAATTATGAAAACAAAAAGCTGGAAACCTGAAATATTTTGCTTCACAAAGTTTTCATAATTGCCATTTTTTTTATTTTTCTGATTATTAAATGTATGTATACAACAATTATGTTTACATTATAACTACATTACAAAATGTTGTAGAGACAGAGGAGGCAGGACACTTAAAGACAGCAGGAAGCAGATTTATGATTTATTTTTATTGGTTGCAACCAGGCTCAGAGGGAAAAGTTTTCACTGTGATCAGTTACTCCCTCTGAATCCTGAGTTCAGGCAGTTTCAGAACTTTCCACCCAATGTGTAGAGGAGGACTCAGAAGTTCACATCTGCAGAAGTTCACACAAAAGCAGCTTTTTCTTTCACTGTTCTGGGCAAGTTAATCCTCAAGGAGAGCACCTGAGAAGGGAAGAGCCTCTTCTCCCCTTTTTCCCTTCCTCCTATCAGCTGTTACAATGGGGCCCAATTAGTAATATCTTCTCTTATCTTTGAAATGTAAACATCTCTGTAAAGCTCTGGCCCAAAGACAGAGGCCTTGTTAAATCATCTGTCTTTCTTATCACACTTTGCATCTGCAAACACACTTTCCACTTGAAAACTATTATATATTATTCCAATACAAAATAGTCCATAAATGTTGTAAAAAAACCAAAAAAAACTAGTAAGTGGTGTTTAGCACCTGGAATGCTGATCTCTTTCAGTCCTATGGCCAAGTAAGATAGAGCAACAGAAAATAGAAAGCTTAACTACATTGAACTCTTTTGTAGAGATTCTTTTGCTAATATTTCTAATATCAATTATGGTGTGAATTTCTGGGAAAAAAAACTAATTAAGATTTTCTGTGGAGAAGGGGGTGCTACTACAATAATATCAAAGTTAGCATTAATAAATGCATGCACTCACAATATAAAAATAAAATAAAAATTGATAAAAATACTTTTAATTCACATGATTTGATAAGGTTCAATTTGAATTGGGTAATTCAATAATAAAAAAACAATGACTTTATCATTAATACACATTTTCCAGCTGGTTAAATGATCTGTTTTCTAATTTCTATAATAATGTTTATATCCATTTATTGTAACACTTTCATTCAACAGGAAAAACATAACTAATATTATTATTTGCATTTACCTCATGCCCTGACTATTAAATTTAAGGTAAATGACATTAATTATATAAATATTCATTACAAGAGACAATTATTGACTTAAAATATTAAGAGGCTAACTATTCGACATAATATCAAGTACACTTAGCTCCTTAAATGACATAAAGTAACATATTTTAGATTATTAATGTTTTCTTAAGCTTATAAAAAAAGTACACATTTATGATTGTCTTATGCCATCACTAAGAACAAGGCTTCTAAAAGTTAAGTCCTAATAGATATAATTCTTTATACAAAAGTGTCCAAAAGTTTTGGCTACATTTTAACTGGAATATTTTCTCTTATTAAAATATAATAATTTGTCTAGATTCAGAGTTTTATAGGGATAATTCTAGAATACAATCACAGAGGATTCTACAGATGAGAAAGACATATTACAAAATTCTAGAAAGAAAGAACAATGCTTCCACACAAAGAAAAGAAAAAAAAATGGAGAGTTCTAGAAGCAAGAAAGAAAATGTCTCTGGGTAAAAAAGTCTTTATATATTAAATACTTTGATAGTAGGAAGGAAGAGATTTTTCTAAATGTGAAAATCTTTGTATGGTTATATACAGGAAATTCTAAGTAAGTAATTAAAAATGTTTGTAAGTAATAAGTTTGTGTGTAATTAAGTTGCAAGTGAATATATGGAACAATAAAAAATATTTAAGGTTTTTCTCCAAGATCAAATACTGATATGTAAATGTAAACCAAAATATAGAATAATTTTTTATGCCTGGTAAGTTCTATTATTTAAAACAGGGCTAATTTAAAAAAAATAAAATTTATATAATTTTGACAACAACTATTCTCTTAAAATTCTTTTTAAATTTTATATTTAAAGCTTTTTTTAAAGCTATACTTGATTGATTTGAAAACATAAATGTAATAATGACAATTATTTCTTATTTTTATCTATAAATTGTATCTCTGTTTCCTAAATATGTCTTTTATTTATTTATTTATTGATTGATTGATTGATTGGTTGTTCAAAACATTACAAAGCTCTTGACATATCATATTTCATACATTTGATTCAAGTGGGTTATAAACTCCCATTTTTACCCCGTATACAGATTGCAGAATCACATCAGTTACACATCCATTGATTTACATATTGCCATACTAGTGTCTGTTGTATTCTGCTGCCTTTCCTATCCTCTACTATCCCCCCTCCCCTCCCCTCCCATCTTCTCTCTCTACCCCATCTATTGTAATTTATTTCTCTCCCTTGATTTTTTTCCCCTTTCCCCTCACATTCTCTTATATGTAATTTTGTATAACAATGAGGGTCTCCTTCCATTTCCATGCAATTTCCCTTCTCTCTCTCTTTCCCTCCCACCTCTTGTCGCTGTTTAATGTTAATCTTTTTCTCATGCTCTTCCTCTCTGCTCTGTTTTTAGTTGCTCTACTTATATCAAAGAAGACATTTGGCATTTGTTTTTTAGGGATTGGATAGCTTCATTTAACATAATCTGCACTAATGCCATCCATTTCCCTGCAAATTCCATGATTTTGTCATTTTTTAGTGCTGAGTAATACTCCATTGTGTATAAATGCCACATTTTTTTTAATCCATTCATCTATTGAAGGGCATCTAATTTGGTTCCACAGTCTTGCTATTGTGAATTGTGCTGCTATAAACATCGATGTAGCAGTATCGCTATAGTATGCTCTTTTAAGGTCTTCAGGGAATAGTTCAAGAAGGGCAATAGCTGGGTCAAATGGTGGTTCCATTCCCGGCTTTCCCAGGAATCTCCATTTTGCTTTCCAAATTGGCCGCACCAAATTGCAGTCCCATCAGCAATGTACAATTGTACCCTTTTCCCCACATCCTCGCCAGCACTTGTTGTTGTTTGACTTCATTATGGCTGCCAATCTTACTGGAGTGAGATGGTATCTTAGGATGATTTTGATTTGCATTTCACTGACTGCTAGAGATAGTGACCATTTTTTCATGTACTTGTTGATTGATTGTATATCCTCCTCTGAGAAGTGTCTGTTCAGGTCCTTGGCCCATTTGTTGATTGGGTTATTTGTTTTCTTATTGCTTAATTTTTTGAGTTCTTTGTATACTCTGGATATTAGGGCTCTATCTGAAGTGTGAGGAGTAAAAATTTGTTCCCAGGATGTAGGCTCCCTATTTACCTCTCTTATTGTTTCTCTTGCTGAGAAAAAACTTTTTAGTTTAAGTAAGTCCCATTTGTTGATTCTTGTTTTTAACTCTTGTGCTATGGGTGTCCTATTAAGGAATTTGGAGCCCGACCCTACAATATGTAGATCGTAGCCAACTTTTTCTCCTATCAGACGGCATGTCTCTGATTTGATATCAAGCTCCTTGATCCATTTTGAGTTAACTTTTGTGCATGGTGAGAGAAAGGGATTAACTTTCATTTTGTTGCATATGTATTTCCAGTTTTCCCAGCACCATTTGTTGAAGATGCTATCCTTCCTCCATTGCATGCTTTT